TACAAGGCGCCAACGTATTATAACATGATGTATTTCTAACAAACACTTCTCTTATAAAATGTGCCATAAACTCATGCCCTATAGTTTTATAAATTCAAATTTCCTGGTAAAAAAGACTGCTATTCAGAGCCAACAATGTGAATGTGTGTGTATCTGCATTGTGTGTACGTGGGAGTGCACCCGCTCCCTCGTGTGAATCTGTGTGTGTGTGTGTGAGTGAGTATATTTAAATGGGCCACTGCATCTCGACTTAGATCCACCGCGAGTGCAACGTTAACACACATCAAGCATGATTAATCTCTCGCTCTCATCTACAATCAATCACACACACACACGCTGGCAGACATACACACACACACACACACACACACACACACACACAGAGGCAGAGAAATCACAGAAATCAGCTGCTTTTCCTCCTCGGCTGCCATCTATCTCTTGTTGGACAGAACCAGATCTGTCTTGATGTTAATATTTACATAAATCATGCTTAGCCTCTTTGGACACCATGCTGATGATAGGTGTTTCTGAAAAATCAACGCGGGTGAAAAATCCTCCCACTCTGGAAAAGTGTCATTGAGTAGCTAATAATGACCACTGTCAACGTCATCAATCTGCAGCGGCCTCGTAGGAGAACAATACACCTTCACACACACACAGACATACACACACGATGCTATGTTAACACCACGCAGCTGCTACTTACTGCTAAACATCCTTCATTTGAAATAACCTACATAGAAACAATAGATTTGCAGTTGCACATGTGAGGATATAACGTGTAGAATTTGGGGCTGTAAAAAAATAATACAGTTAAAAAAATATACTTGATGTTTGATGTTCAAGCTTCCTCTCCCATAACAATGATCTGTTTGGTCTTGCCTGGCTTTGAAGCCCACAGACAAAAGCCCGCCGCTCGCCTGAGCTTTGTCCTTTCCTGATGTCAGGAGCACTGAAAAAATAAATACCTACGGTCAGAAAATGTGGCGTGCGCGCCCGTATACATGTGTACATGAATAAGGCGGCGAACTTCCATAGATCCAAGTTTATAAGGCATAACAAACACCTCCGGTCTGCTCCATGAAAAATCATCACTGCTAATTTTAGGAACGACCTGGATTAGCTTTCTACCCAACTCACACACTTATACAGCGCCAGCGCCATAACTGTCCAAAGTCTCACCTGTGGTGGGGTTGAAAAAGGAAGTGGGGTTGGGTAGAGGGGGGTGGGGGGGCAAATGAGGACGGTGTAAGATCAACTTGATTACATCCAACTATGTCGCAGACCTAATTGGCGAGCGTGACAGTGTGCTGAGCTTGTCATCTCCAATCATTAGGCCTGTCAGAGATCCATCAGAAGCTCGGCTAATTAGGAGAACGCTAATGAAGCTGGCAAAACAACTCCTCTTTTTAGACGGCTGAATGCGCTCCGTCGCTGGGGTGGGAAGCGTGTGCGGGGGTTTGTTGGATGAGAGAGAGGAAGAGTGTGTGGGATCACGGAGAGGACAGCGAGAGATGTGTAAAAGTAAAATAAATTGGTTATTCCTTTACGCTTGTACCCTAGCAGAACCCTGCAGAACGTTGGCTGTGAAGCCAAGTTCAAGTGGATCTACATATGGTCTGTTTGGGTAATAACCAATTAAGACCACATGAAAAGCTCCAAATAAGCAGATTTAAAGGAACCTTTCAATAAACGCACTGACCTTTAACCAGATTTACGAGTTTATGTCATTTGAGCAAATTTGATGGTTGAATGAATCACTGAAGCTCGGTATGATATATCTGCTGCTTAACCACAAACCCTTAAAGAATGCTTAATTTTCTGGGTGCAGGACAGAGAGACATAAAAGAGAGGAAAAAGAGAAAAAGTGTGGAAAAGAAACTCAAGGTTGGGGGTACTCTGCCCCCTCCCAAGTTCCTAATCAAGGCCTATCATTTGCCATCCTCCCATAACTCTTGCCATCACTACGGCGCAATCAATTTGTCATCACTCTTTGTGTGCCATGCAGTTCTCCTCAACCTTATAACTTGCAGCTGTGAGCAAGGGGAGGGGGGGGAGTAGAAGATGTGGGGAAGAGGAGGAGGAATGGAGGGTAAAAAAAAAAAAAAATAGGAAGCTGCCAATAGTCTAAAATGAAACTCCTCCTTCGCCTGCCTCGTGTTTGTTCTCGTCCGCTCATCAAAGAAATAAATGCCTCATTTTCTCTCCCGCTCTCACTGCCGCCACACTCACTCGCTCATTCCAGCTGAATAAAAAGTCATCTCGCTATGCATCTGTCCATCCATCCATCCATCCATCTGTCCGTCCACCCATTCCTTTACCCCCACCCATTGTGTCCATTAGGGCTAAAACATTTTGATCAAGTAAGGCCCAGGGCTGAGAATACATAAGACTCTCTCTCTCTCTCTCTTTCTGTGCCAGCCTCTGATTGACCATTAGGGCCATTGATGAATGTGGCTGTCAGAGGGCAGACAATTAAATCAAATATGAAACAAAGTCTCTCTGACGGGCCCTTCTGATGGAGCAAACCAGTCTTCCGCCTCACGATTAGGCTAATAGTTACATTTTTCATACCACTCTATGTGTGTATGTGTGTGTATGTGTGTGTGTGTGTGTGTGTGTGTGCGCGGCGAAAAGTATTGCATGCTTGTTTATATGTAGGCTACTATAAAGTCATTGCAGCATGTCTTCTCTGCATGCACCACTGCACATATGTAATTATGTGTGTTAGAGTGTGTGTATGTGCTGGTAGGCTGTGGGCAAAATTCGGAGACTATATATTTCCTTGAGAGTGTAACAAAGTTGCAAACAGGAGTGCGCTAACGTAAAATAGCTTACAATAAAATGTTAAAGGTCATACATAAATCATTATTAATTCGCTATAATAAATATGAGTGGTAATTAGTGTTTCGAAGCCACGTTAACTGCGAGGAAAAAGCTACAAAAAAAGAAGGGTTTGTTTAATTGACTCAAAATCTCAAAAGCTGAAAATGAACACAAATTATTAGTCTCGTAAATGATCCGATGAGAAGACCAAAAGTCCTCCCTCCACTTCAATAGGAGCATAAAATAAACGCTGAGTTCAGTTCTTTACCCTCATCAAGTCTGAGGCGAAGGAAGGGGGGAAAAGTAAGAAATCAAAGCTAATAAAAGTGGGAGAAAAATAGATACAAAGATGCAATTAAATGATGGTGTTAATGGCGAGAACTTTGTGAGGCCAGACGTGACTTCAGCAGGCCCTGCTGTGCTACCAGAGTGAGTGAAGGAGGGAAGGTAGGAGGGAAGGAGGGGAGGGAGGGGGGGTGATTTATTGACACTTATCGGGAATGAACAGATCAAAGGCTCGGCCAGATGACAGGCGATCAATCAGGCGTCAAATCAAAGATGGCAATTGTCCATTAAAGCTCTCTTCCAGTATACACTCCCTCCCCAGGCTGTGAAATAATCTTTAGGCTAGAAGAAAAGTCTTTCCCAGAAACTGAAGGGAAGGAGAGAACGAAAACAGGCTGGACCCGGATGCGAAAAGACGGATATTCAAAATTTTCAGATAGGTTACTATATTAAAGCCTTAATGGAATAGGAGGTGACGTCAAAGAACTCTAAGAAGAGCTCATTGTGAATACTGTCAAAACACACTGATACGATGTGGGATAAAATATCCTGGAAAATACAAGGTCACTAAAACCAAATATTGTGAATCAAAACACTTCAGATTCTTGTAGAGAATATTACAGCAACACGATGGTGTAACAGTATCACTGGTAGGCAGTCAAACCCAGACTATATTGGAGTGATGTTTCAATGAGAACAGAGAAAAAACAAAAACAACTGATCATATAAGACACACGTGACTAAAAGAGTCGACCTCCTGTGATTTATCGGGACGTTTTAAAGTTAATCGGACTTCCCCAAAAGAAATCAGCGAGCATTAAAGGCCTCCGTTACAGTCAGCTGACCGTGGGGCTCCACCAGACCTCTCCGGTATACATCCTTAATTCCACAGTCAATATCTACGAGGAGGAGGTGGAGGAGAAGGAGGTGCCGTGAAGGAGTGAAAAAAGGTAAAGGGAGACCTATGAGAGATCAAGTTCTCTGAGGCGAGGAGAGAAAAATGAAAGAAAAAGGCTTTTCGCATTGAGCCCTCTCACACTGATACTCTCTTCGAGGACACACGCACTGGTACACCGAGGCTGACCTGTGACCTCTCTGAGAGGGATGATTGCTCTAACTACCAGGTCACACCTGTGTACATCCAAGCCCGCTTTTCCTGACACATGTGCAGGCCTATGTTAAAATATTATTTGCGGTATTGAATAATTTACTTTATTAATCAGTAAAGCATCAGAAATTTGCGAAACATGCCAATCACTTTTCCAAAACCTAAGGTGTCTTTTTCCAAACAAACCAAAGAGATTCAATTTGCAGTGATGTACAGCAGAGAGACGCAGATGCATCTCAGTGGCTGCAACTACAAATGTTTGACATTTTTGCTTGAAAAGTGACCGAAAGATTACAGATGCATGTTTGTGTTCATCAAGTTATATACTCATCTTTTCAGCTCTAATACAAGAGAAATGGCCTTGTTTACTAACTGTGCTTCAAAAAAAAGAATGTGGAGGTGAGGATCTTTGGAATACTGAAATAAGGTAATACGGTTTTATAATAGAGGTATGTGGTGGATATAATAGGAGGAATTCTGGCAGAAATGATAAGGTATGTTTAGTATGAAAGGTAAAAGTTGTGTTGAGGGCACTGGAGCTGTGAAAAGTAGACACAGAGTGCTAGATGTCTGCCCTCTCCTTGTTTGTTTGCAGTACCCAACAAAAGATGTTTTAACGGGGAGAGAAATATTAATGAAAAGTAAGTGAATGAGGGAGGCGGGGAGGAGGAGGGGGGCAAATAGAGAGAGGGTGAGAGAGGGAAGGAGAGAGAGAGAGGGGGAGAGAGAGAGGGAGAAAGAGAGAGAGGTAAATTGCATTCAAACCAAAGCCAGTCCGTACCTGCGGCGCGCCGAGGCGCTTGCTGCTTCCTCCGCGGCATGTCGGCTTCGGGGGCCCGGCAGGGAGTTCTTCTCTGGCCCCGGTGATTCGAGGCTGCCTGGGGGATCCGCGGAGCTTTGATACACAGTTTCCCCCCCTGGGTGCGCTCTCAGGGCTCCCACATAGATCGGGGTGGGTGTGTGTGTGTAAGGAGGGGAGGGTGTGCAGTTTTCGAACACAAAAAGAAATCAGATGAGATAGAGCCAGCAGATGCGAAGATAATAAAAAAAGAAGAAGAGAGGGGGAGAAAAAAATCAGCGTGACTCCTCCGGTTGGCTGCTCTCTCTGTCCGTCGCTCGGTCGCTCTCTCGCCCGCTCCGACTTGGATGGACGCGGTGGGAGCAGGAACAGAGGGGGGCTCCGCGGTAGAAAAACAGAGTACGGAGGTTTTAAAAAAGCGCCTCGTGCCTCCGTGTGATCCTCTTTACTTGGCGTCGGAGGCTGCAACAGGCAAGCTTGAGGGGATAAAACCAAATGATCGCGTCAGTCAAAAGTCCGCAAACAAGCGGACAACACATCAAGAGCTGACACAACTGAAGCCCTGCGCCTCCTCTACGGTTCAACCTCTCCGCCGCTGATAGGCGTCACGTAGCTCCCTGTCTCTCTCTCCCTCTCCCTCTCTATCTCCCCCTCTCTCTCTGCCTCTCCTGTCTCTTACCCCTCTCACTCTCTTTCTGTCAGTCACTGCCTCGTTCTATCCCCGTTCATTCCAAATGAGCAGGCTAATCACAAGCTTTGGGTTAGAAATGTGCGTAATGTCAGTCATATTGCAGATGGGTCTAAAGAGAGGAGCAGACACGCAGACACATGGTAGCCTAACAAAAACACACATATACAGTATCATTCACAAGCACACATACGGGCTGACAGCGTGATCTGAACGGAAATGCATACTTACTTTACGGGCTGATCCTCCGCCGCGCTATCCATGAGGTTTTTCCCTCCCGGTAATCACGCGCAATTCAAAGCCAAGAGGTGGACCAGCTCAAACGTGCCTGAAACCATCTCATAAAAATCCATTCGGCTCTGGCAAGTCCTGTTAGTGGTGAGAAAAAAAAGCCACATGCAGCTTTTTCAGTTTGTTATTCTCAGGACCGACAGCGGAGGAGGAAAGAGGAGGAGGAAGAAGAGGAGGAGGTGACGACCGGGACTGGTCACCCACACGCTGCCCTGCCTGGCGCGGCTACGATATTTTGTCCGAGAGCGCTTTGAAAAATCCGCTGAGGGCAAGTCACACAGTCAGTATGTATGCGTATGCATGTGTGCGCGTGCGCGTGCGAGCGCGTGTTAGTGTAACTGCGCGCGTGTGTCTGTGTGTGCCTGAATCGATGAGATACGTGCTTGATTGGGTCTCCCTTGTTGTAATAATGTACATGAGGAGGAGGAGGGGACGGGCTCAGGCTGCTCCCATGCATGCAGGCTGGCTGGAGCGCACGGATCAGCCGAGCTCTAGCGCCTTCTGCCAAACACTTTATTGGCCGCTGATGGTACTTTTCTCCCGTTTTTTCTTTGCGTGGCCTGATAGGAGCTATTTAAATCAGCAACGCAGCGAATCAGACGTGTCTCCCAACACTGCGCTCGGCTCTCCTTCCTGCGCCTCAAGTGACCGGAGAGGCGCAAAAACCTCACCGAGCTCTGTCCCTTTTATTTGGCACTGAATGGAATAAAGTAGCTTTTTTTCTTCACAGGTAAGATCAAAATCCTCCTTAGCTGAGATGTAGGTGATTCAAATATTTGCTGGAGATGTCGTTGCTCCTTTTTTTTCTCGCAGTGTTTCACCTTACAGTGAGGAATAAAAGTTTTTGGATTCAACTGAGTTGGTGAAGTGGATGAAAAAAATATTCTCCTGTATTTTTCAGGCAATCCTCAGCGTGGATGACTTCACGTTGGTGAAAACAAAGGATACAGGATTCTTGAAGAGGGAACTGAAGAACAAGGGAGAGCAATAAGGGTGAGTTGCCAAAGGCTGTCTTTCTCTCACCTCCTGTCTTCCTCTGCGCCAGATGTGGTGCTGCTGCGCCTCGTCTCTCGTGCTCATCAATAGCCGGAGAAACAGCTTTCTTCGTCGGATCCGCCGAGGGAATCAAATCTCCTCAGCCTTTCTCCACGGGTCGCTCCTCGTGTAAACCGGGCAGTCTGTCCGTTCCTTCTCCGTTCACCGGGCTCGGTGGAAGGATTGGTGATTGGTGACTCTCCGCCGATCGAGGATGTTTTCGCCCTAATCTCGCCGCGACTATGTGCGCCGCTCCACCACTGCATGCCGTTAGATCCGCCCAAGCATCTGTCCGTCTTTCCATTGGCGCATCCATCAGTGTCACACACACACACACACAGCTGCCGCGCGCACATTCCTTGCGATACTACAATCCCCCCTCCCACCCCACAGTGTACACTCAAACATAACACTCATTCACACACGCAAACACACACAACGCGCCCGCGCTCGCGGGCGATGGAGAGCTCTCCTCTCTGCCTGATTGACACAGCCCACTTTCTTAAAAGCCCGTCAGCGAGCACGCTGCGTTTTTGTTTGACATTTTCTCTCCCAAATAGGAGTCCGAGTGTTTCTTTTTTCCTTCTCGGCGCCAGCATTTTATTCTTCTTCCTTAAATATCTACAAGAACAGAAAAAATAACAACTTGTGTCAGGTGGCTCAATGTTGAGACAGGGGAATACTTATGCTTCCACAGTACTAAACATTTCAAAATATTTCATGCCAGGCCCAGCGGGGTTTTCGGTGCTTTGCGCTCTGATGAAAACAACTTAAATTTGCTTGCAATATAATTAAGTTTGTGAGAAAAACGCACAAGAAAGATGTCCGATTAATAACCGGGGTCTTTACCTGCTGAGGTGCCGGGGCGAAGTCTGCCTTTTGTTCAGCAGCAAATCACATAGATTATTTTATGTTATTAATTAACTGAAATGGACGAGGTCGCTTCCTATCTTCTATACATCAGGTTTAAATAACAGTGGGTCTAAAATATTTATCATTTAATATGTCTAAAATCTGTCAAACAAACCCCAAACTGTTTTTCTTAACTACTTGAATGCAATATAATAACGACAGGCCTGATATTTTTTTCTTTTTACTTTTTTATTTTGTACAGCAAACATGAGGAGACGTTAGGTCATCTCTGTTGGGTTTTGGCATTCTAAATCTAGTGTCGTTTGAGAAAGCTTGTCTGAAGGTGTTCTGCACATTGTATTCACTGTAACGGGGATGCAGACATTCAGACACTACGACTACCTTTCAGGACTGTGTCTGAGAGACAGAGAGAGGAGAGGGAGGAGAGAGGGAGAGGGGGGGGGGTGCTTTGATTTACACAGTTGCCAAACACTTGAATACCAAACTCAAATATATTATCACAAATTAATTCTTTCTCCTCTTTAAAGTCGCATAATCATACAATTGAAAGCGTCAGATGGGCTCTGATATGCACTTTGGACCGACAGATTTATACCAGGCTGGCGGTGAACTGGGTTTAGGTAGGGGGGAGACAACAAACTTCACAGTTCCTCGTGCCGGATGTGTTTGTAGGGATTTCATTCAACGTGTGCTTTGTTGGCAAATTCCGGCTTTTAACTGGCACTTTATGACAAATATAAAACGGTGGCAGCTGCGGAGTTTTAGGAATTCTATTCCCCTCAGTCATCGATGTGTGAAATAAAAGCACGACGCCAAAGTGATGTTGAGACTCGTGCACAAGTATGACCGATGAAAACAACTGTGTGGATATTATATTTAAGGTAATATAAAGTCAGTAGTGACTTCTGCCGATGTCATCCAGTTAAATCAGTGTGATTTATTTCCCTGGATATAATTTTTCTATTTTCATCATCTTTCACCATTTTTACTGCAACTTTATTTAATAATCATTTTCATAGTAATTATATTGGTTTTAACTTGAATAATTGTTCTGTGTCAGTTTTTAACATAAGATTATGAAGTAAGTCGTGCAGTGTGTGTGTGTGTGTGTGTGTGTGTGTGTTTGTGTGTGTGTGTGTGTGTGTGTGTGTGTGTGTGTGAGAGAGAGAGAGAGAGAGAGAGAGAGAGAGAGGGAGAGGCACACTGTTCATCCATCTGTTGTTCTCGATATTCAAACGTTTACATAAAACTTTCATAAACACTTACATGTTGTGAAAGCGGTGGGGTGAAAGCTGCATTGTTCTTAAAGCTCCATCAAATAAGCTTTGCCACAAAAAGTTATTTAATGTTTCACAGCAGGTACAGCCGCTAGTTGCTGATATTACCCGAAGCGGACGATGTCATGGAAATGTCTGGAATCGAAGTTTGCAGTTCAGGAGACCTGTGGTGTAATTCTGGGTCAGATTACGTTAACTGTATATCTGGGAACTCCACTGAATCACTCTCTCATGGGTAAATAATTGTTTAACTTTCAGATTATTGTGAGAACAAAACTCTGTGTCTGTGACGCAGAGATGGTTTTGCGCACGATGCAGAGGTGCGTTTCCTGGTTTTCTTTTTGTTTTTTAATGGTTAAGGGCAAGTTTATTCTGTGTTATTTTTTATCATTATTATTTTTAATAAACTACATGAGCAAATTAGTTCGTGTCCTGCTTGTGCCACGCAAGAAAAGTACTATATTATAAAATATTTTCAAATTTCGGACAATGCCTGTGGGGCCTGTAGGATAAATATGGCAGTATGGTTGTGCGTTTTCATGTTCTCACCGATAATAAAACGAATTTAATTGAACTCTTTCCCTGGTTGCTCGCATCTGTGACATTAAAGTTTCACTGATGAAATGAAAAGATTTACTTTTCCCCTTTAAAGACAATATGCATCATACAGCGAAATAAATCTGCGGAGACATATTAAGAGTTCACAGGAATTATAGGACGCGGCTCTATAAAGGCAGACTCGCATAGGAATAACCGCGTGGATGACTCATATTTGAGTGTTTGAGCCAAACACTCTATTCAAGGACGTGGGTAAAATTCATACAAAAGTGATGAAATTAATCATAAACAATTATATTATTGATTCCACCAGCAGTTAAAGAGAGAAACAGAGCCTAACGCGCACCATCAGCGTGACCGCGCGCGCAAACACTTAGTCCTTTAGGCTTTACACAGAAGTCATTGCCATCAAGTGTGTGTGTGTGTGTGTGTGTGTGTGCGTGTGTGTGTGTGTGTGTGTGTGGTGTGAATGTGTGTGTGTGTGAGAGAAGCCTCTGTTTTACGCATAAAGGTCAGTAATTCATGCCGATGTTCCTTCAGTATCCCGAGTGTGTGTGTGTGTGTGTGTGTGTGTGTGTGTGTGTGTGTGAAGGGGGGCTTTACTGAGGCAATCGGGACCTCGCCTCTGCCTTCTGCCGCTGGTGTCTTTACACTCAAGTCGGAGCTCCAAACCCCTCTCCACGGACGCACAGCATGGCACGGTTTTGGCACTCACGCTGGGCTTCGGTGAGTCCAAATTCGATCATGTCGCTTTATTATTTTTGTTATTCAGCAATTAGCAATACCTTATCTAAGCACGGGCATAACGCGCGCGCGCACACGCACGACCATGCCTTTTTGTAGAGACAGAATTTTGGTGACTTGCAACATGTTATTTATCACAGGGATATATCATGAGAAAAGCATCTTTTAAGGTTTCATTCATACACTTTCTGCCTAGAAATAGAACCAGTAAATGCGACTTTTAAAGTTCTAATGCCATATTCTATTAGCTGCAGGGACTTTGTCACAGTCCAGATTAGGCTTTGGTGAATATCCGCCCCCTCCTCAGAACGCAAATAGATGCGTTCGGTTCAGTAGAAACAGGGGGAGGTTTAGAGCACAACTACTGTGATTTATCTCTGAGCCCCACCACTCTACACCATCCGCAATTTACTCTTTTCTCTCTCTCTTCCCTTTTCTCCGTCTTCCTCTACGATGATCACGTTGGTGTGGAGAGGCGGCGTGGCGCACCGGCTTCACGGCACACTGGTTTCTAGTAGACTGGATAAAGAGCCAGGGGGAGGGACAGTCCGCAGAGCAGCCTGGAAAAACGCAGGAAAATAAAAAAGAAGAGTGTACCCTATACCATAAACTATAGCACAGACCCTGGCTCCTTGTATCTGTTCTCAACATGAGACAAAAGAGGGACATAAAGATATTTGTTATAAAGTAGTGTGTAAGTCACCAAATTAGCTCACGTGTACAGTTTAAATGGAAGCCTGTTGGAATAATGTTCTTCTTAACAAATCATTTACTATGATGCTGAGTCTAAAACTGAGTTTTCCCCCAAAGCACTTGAAAACCACAACAAATTCCTTAAGAAAAAATACATGTTCGAGAAATAAGTGTGTCTATTAAATCATCAAGAAAATGCAATTTGAGTTAAAAGAAATTCTTGTACAGATAAGACTGTTAATGGGGAAAAAAATTCATCCTTCTATTAAGGTGGGCAGGCTGAAAGGAGAAACCCACAGCATCCTTTAAACTCCTACTTTAGTTTTATAAGTTGTTTTCTTTCCCCCTCCCAGATATCTGCTTTTTGTCACCCTGTTTTTGATTTTCTTCCTCTCAGCCTAAGGCTGTGCCTGTGGCTGTTGGCCAAGCACTCCTTTCTTTCCCACCTCAATTTGAGACAGACTGTTTTATTATGTAGTGTTAAGATTTCGTCGATATCTGAGTGACCTCCAAAACTCTCCATTGGTGGTGTTGTTCACTAAAAAAGACCCGATTTGCATGGAGGGAGAAAGAGAGGAAAGGAGGCCAGGGTTAGACTCTCCTCAAATAACCTTAAAAGTTACAAAGTCCCACCAAAAACAAGACAACACATCGACATGAGAAGCTGAAAAAAGATTGAGTGGATGCTCTCATTCTCTCTCTCTCTCTCTCTCTCTCTCTCTCTCTCTCTCTCTCTCTCTCTCTCTCTCTCTCTCTCTCTCTCCCCTCTCCCCAGTGTCCTCCCCCCTCCTACCTAGTTGGGTGTGCTGCGGAGCTAGCAGGGTTGAGAGGGCAAGTGCTGACCAGCCCTCTTTCTTTCTCTGTCTGCTGTTACTAGGTCACCACACACACACACACACACAGACACAGACAGACACATGCACACGCATGCACACACACCTCTCCTTGCGGTCAGTGTTGCCACCAGGGAGAGGGGTAATTTAAGCCCTCCTTGATGTAGCCTATTCATCACTGTCCTGTGGTCCGCGCTTCAAAATTAAAGTCTGATCTACAAAGTTAGAGTGAAATGAGATAAAAAATTGGCAGAGGTCACCGAGGGCCAGGCCAGTCAAAACACAAAGCCGTGGCTCAGCTGGGCCGTTATGAGGTGCTTTAATTATTTCTCTCTATAGTTTTGTGGG